ATGGAGGGTAGGGGGTGGATCATGATGGAGGGTAGGGGGGTGGATGGAGGGTAGGGGGTTGAATGGAGGACAGGGGGTTGGATGGAGGAAGGTGGGGGAGAGGAAGGTGAGGCAGAATGATTCAGGAGAGCTCACCAGTGACCAGGGGATCCACACGGACACAATGGTGTCAAAATCCAAACGTACAATGAGGGTACCTGGGATGGAGGGAGAGAGGAAAAGGTCAGTTTGAGTAGCAAGATGAACAGAAGGGTACTGACCTAGAATGTTGAGATGAGGATTTGGATGAGAGTGATGAGTGTTGCGATGAGAGTGATGAGTGTTCAGATGAGAGTGATGAGAGTTGAGATGAGTTCGGTGAGTTTTGAGACTTGAGTGTTTGGAGTACGAAGTGGTGGAAGACAAATTTCATTCACCAACCGGGAAAAAAAAATCACCGAAGGGGGCTAAAATTTGACTGGCCCCATGACCAACTGAAAAAAAAATGATGAAATGTGAAGTTAACAGGATATTGACCCCTCAAACAGGCAACATTATCAGGGTAGCGCTAGTCATGTGGTCAGGGAGGAGCCTAAGAAGTCCACCCAGACCATGTGCCAGCGCTCACCTTTTGTATCACGGGTTCCATTCCCACTTGGCACATTAATTTTGCTGACTGATGAACTACGCTACACTACATATTTAGTTACGCTACCTATATAGCTGTTAGCTGTAGCGTAGCTACATAGGTAGTGTAGTGTAACTTAGCTTAATTTACTATGAGTTACGCTACATGTTAGCTGGAAATAAGTTACGCTACTGGTTAGCGGAAATTTTGTTAGTGTAGAAAAAGTTACGCTATTTGTTAGTTCAACGGTTATTATTTACAACTAACACTAAAAAAAATTTGAGAGAAAAATTTTCCACTACGCTGGGAGTCAGCTCAGCGGTGTTCAGCGTGAGCTAACACTACAGAATTTCCAGGAAAAAAAAAGACCACTACGCTAACAGTTAGTGGCCCTTTAGCGTAGTGTAGCGTAGCGGCCCACCGTTGGCTACAGTTAGTGTAGCGGCCCACTGTTGGTACCTGCCACACTTTCAAAACAGGTTCTCCACATTACCAGCCACCAGAAATGCAGATGGAGTGTCCAGTACAAATTCCATATCATCACTTCACCCTCTAACTGCATAACTGGTTGCTGGTGTTCTGGATAGCCTGTTGTGAAAGTGTGGCAGGTACCTCCCAACAGGTACCGATGGCCATCTCTACCAGTGACTAGGCTATGCAGAATGGACTGAGGATTTAGTGTTGTTTGTATTTTTAGTGGACCTCATGAGCTGGATGAGCTGGATGAGCTGGGTCTCAGAGCTGACTGAGCTGGGTCCGAGAGCTGACTGAGCTGGGTCTGAGAGCTGACTTGAGCTGACTGAGCTGGATGAGCTGGGTCCAAGAGCTGACTGATCTGTATGAGCTGAAAAAGTTGGGCAAGCTCAGCTCAGCCATTTTCCATTCCAAGTGGAAGATGTGTACATGGGTTTCCTCCATTAGGGATGGAAGAATTTTGCAGCCACCGGTGACAAGACCACCAAGCTCAGCTTGGCAGTTTATATATCGTGATAGACTAGGATAGTTTGAGATGAAGCTGTCGACTGATTTGTATAACAGTTCAAGTTGATGGTGATTGTTGATGATTTTATTGTTGTTGATGAGGTTGTTGTTGGTAGAAGTGGTGATGATGATTGTTGTTGAGGTTGAGGCTTGAGACCAGGTCCTTGAGGTTGATGGTATATAAAGTAAAAAAGAGGTGATTTGGAACCAAGGTGCTGGTCCTGGAAGGGAGCACTATGCTTCAACCAGGGATGGAACAGGGAGCCGGGCACTTGGTGTGATGATGATATGAAAGTGTTATAAGTATATTGCAATAAAAATAAGGGTGGTTATATAACTTTGACTGGTAAGATAATAGGTGGTAAGTGTAAAGGTGGGTTGAGATGATCTGGTCCACTGGTGGGATGATGAATGGTACAACTGGCAGGCAGAGGCCTCCTTATATAGACAAAAGTGAGGGATTTTAGCTCCAGGGTACATGCATCTGAGGCATTTTAGCTGGCCTGAAAATACCATGAGGGAATTTAGCTAGTCTAGTGCATGCAGGTGAGGGAATTTGGCTGGTGAGAGCACAGCCTTGAGGGATTTTAGCTAGCCTACAAGGACCTACTACAAAGGAATGCATGTGCACCTACAAAGGAATTCAATATGAAATATAAGCCAGTAAAGGAATTCAATATGAGACAAAGGAATTCAATATCCATTATGCATCCAGTACTCAAAATGAGATGTGGTCAGAATAATAATAAAGAAAAGCTCCCTTGACAGCTTGAGATAAGTGTAACTTCTGAACTAGTAGAGATAAGAGGGTAGTTGTAGTGAGTGAGTAGGGGTTATTTTACCTCATGAATCCATTTTTGATTTTATTTTTACCATATCTTCAATATTTAGAGAGATAATAATAAATTTTTATATTTTTGGCGTAGAAACACAGGAATAATTACCACAGTGTTACAGCATTTTTAGAGGCTTTTAGGCATTTTTTGCAGCTAAAAACGCTGTAGCATAGCGGCTCCAGAGGCACGCTAACACTACACCAACACTGGCAGGTTACACTACCAGTAACGGTAGCGTAATGATAACACAACGAAACCAGGGCTGTTAGCGTTGCAATAATCGCAACGGCCTTTCCGTTACGTTTTATTTTTGTCTTTACGTTATCCACAGCACAAAAAGATGGATTAACACATGAATAATTAGGTCAATAACGCAGATAACTTGTTGTTTGCGTTATTTTTCTGGGTAACGAGGGGAGAAAACCCCTTTGCAACGCTGGGCCAGCTACGCTAACCGTAGCGGTTAGCGCAGCGTAACGTAGCGGAATTCCACGCAACTTTAGCGTAGCGTAGCGGGATTCCGCCACGACACCGCTAACGCTACGCGTGTGGGCCGCAAAAAAGGGCCCACTACGCAGGGCTACAGCGCTTTTTAGCGGTTTTTGGCCGCTTTTCCGCTA